ATATATATATATACTGTCAAAGCATAAGAAAGTGACATACGCTCTTTGCGGGAATAATGCACAGGCCGTTGGCACCATAAACACAAGGCTGGATTCAAAAGAACAAAGTTGCACATCACTTGACTGGACAAAACATTCTATTCAGAAACCCTTGAAACAAATACTAGTAGTACACATAGATCAATATCCATTCTGAAGCTGCTATAAATACACAAGTTCAGATGAATTGTGAAATACATTCTGAAAAGCAAGTATGGCACTCACAAGCATCCAACCAACATGACTTGTATGGGGGCATGAAGGAACTGTATTCTCTGCATGGGGAAATAGTAATAGCATCACATACATGTAACATACCAATCCAACATAAGCACAGTGCGTGTGTATATGTGTGCATGTGTGTGTGTGTAGTTTAAGTGGAATTGATATGCATACATGTATATGCATACACATACACATACATGCACACTTGATGACAAGAATTGTTTTTTTAATCCCTTTTCTAAAAAATATACCTATATACTTTACCTGCATCCATGTGTACCTCTCCATTTTCTGCATGATGACAGGACACAGTACTGAACACAAAGAAAGAAATACTGTAACAATAATACTCAGTTCTATATGTACATGTACCATGCTTCCAATGTACAAGAGCTCCTTGTACATTGTGTCAACTTTTAATTTCGAAAGAAAAGGAAATGTTGGCCAGGAAACCATTTAAACTTTCTCACCTCTTTACTGTTGTTTCTTAGCTATAAATTTCTTTTTCAACTTTATTATATAGGACTACCATGAATATTTACATTTGATATTTACATTGAGCCAGAACCTTGAAACAGGTACATAGATGTACCATTAGTACACATTAGAATATTACTTACACATTCCAGGTGCAGCCATGGACACTCTGGACACAAACACTTGGAAAATTCCCTTTTTTGCTGCTTTCTGAAGGAAGGAATTAGAAGAAAGGCCTGTTTAAAAATACTTTCTGGGGGTAATTAGGAAAGGAAAGTTAAAGAAAATAGATTCAGAAACATTCCTACATTTATCTAATTCATATCTTAGTCTACATTCAAGAATTATTAAAGGCCACTCCTTCCATCATTCCAAACTCTATTCTCTGACTTCTATTTAATTAATAAAATATGTTACCGCTACTCTTCATCTTGAAAATATGTAGTCTCAGTTTATGTGTGTATAGTTAACTGATACTTGGTTCTTACCTTGGACTTTCCTAGTTCATTCCCATTGCCATCAGTAACTACAATGCCATTCATGAGTTCTCTGTCATGAGAAAAAGACAGCAGTGGGTCACTAAATACTACACATCTATCTGCTCATCACAAATTGTCTAAAACAATCTCTGTCCGTATGAGAATGTACATCCATATATGGAAAAAGTTGTCTAGCTCAAGCACCTTCACACAGTATCGTCAAGAAATCTATATACTGCAGTGTCTAGTAATCTGACCGGGTGCAATTAGGCTGTGGGAGGTGACATCACTGGTACCAATGAACAACTCAATCCTTCATATTTTTCAAAGAGACTACAGGATAATCTACTAGCTGTTGTAGTCCACAACTGGAATTCCAACATGAGCTCCAAAAGCTGTCCTTACCTTTGTCTCATGAGTGGTATATTGGCAAAGTTTCCTGCTGCCACTGCTGCAAATGGCACGTAACGCTGCAGCAGCTGTGGAGCTCTCTGCAGTCAACATAAACAGCAATGAGATGGCTTATATATGCATATCAACGACTTTAGAAAAAAACATAAGTCCAACAACAAATAATCTGTTTTGGTTTGGTTTGTTTGACAATACAACTGAACTTCGTGATCTGCCTATAACATTCTGGTCAATGTTAGAGTAAAGTAATTTTGTATTATATAACGTTACATATACATATATCATATAAAGCATCTCTATTAAAAGATTTTTAAATGATAAGAGTTGAATCTGTTTCTGACTTTTTAATCATTGAAAATGGTAAGTTGGAAAATTTAACTGACTACGTACACTGATTTCATTGTCTGAGATAAAAGACAGCATCAGTATAAACGTTGTCACTGTCAATATTGCAGGTAATTATGGTTGTACTACAGTTCCTGATGCCTCACCTTTTCCTAAATATAATACATGTAGAAAATCTCAGTATATAAGTGTTTACCGCTGTGAGAGAGTTAAGGCCCACAGACACTGCTACAGCTGCTGTGGTCGCACTGGCGTATGCCGTACCAATCTGTCTGGGAGAAAGAAAATATCTAAATCTATATGTTTCTAACAAACTTTACAGGGACACTGAAAATCAAATTAGCCAAAGTGAAAAAAAAAGCTCCTTAAGTCTTACACACCTCCATAATTGTACAGGAAGGCATTTAGCGCGAATATTACATTTCTTAAATACAATGTATGAGAAAAAAAGGTCTTCCTTGAAAAATAGGTCTTCAACTTCACCAAAACTACATGTAACATAAAACTTAACAGAAAGTTTCAAATGGGTTTAAATGTGAAGTTCCCTTTTAAATGGTTAGTGTACCTGAGACATCTGTCATTTTACATACTTGGTTGTTATTGCAGATGCTGCATTCCTGTTGGTATAGTTGACCAGAGCGTTGAAGGACTGGTTAATCCACTGCCAGAATACAACAGCTGGTACTGTCCTATAATAAACAAACATGAGAATTTAAAACAAATTAATAGTAACAGCAGCACAGGATGTTTGATAATATTTCCTTGTGGTGAAGTAAAAGTCTTCTATTTAATTCATTTTTTCAACCTGGCATCACATGACTTGAACTGACCTATAGAATTGCAGCATGAAGCCCGTGATGAGCATGCCACCTGGCACCTGGAAGGACATCCGACCAATCACGTTCTGCAGCTCGCCTGAGTCCGGGTGGAAGGCGGAGTCGTACAGCTTCTTGGCATACCACAGCTGCTCCTCCGTCGTGCCAGGTGGTGTAGAACCTAGTCTGTGGAGATGGAGTAAAATATACGTAACATTTTTTATGTAGGTACAGAGGTACATCATGTCTTGTTTTGGGTGGCAGAGCTAGCTGTGGGTTTCTGTATCTGTTGACATCTCCAGACAAGGTAGGTTGGTATCATGTGGGTGGGGGAAGATTGGCAGGCAGAATTACACGAGGTCAAAAGGTCAGACAAAGGTTCTGTTGGGAAACCAGAAACACAACATTTTCCCCCTAGGCCCTACCTGTAATTTGTGACCAGGTCTCTGGCTTGGTTTAGCTTGGCATCACTGCTCAACACTGTCCTCATGTCTGTCAGGTTGGCAAAGTGCTTCAGCCGGCCTATGAAGGTGGACTGGTCCCATCTGGGCCGGTCCAAGTCAATTCTGGGCATCTCGGAACTTGCAGTCATGGTTGAAACCAAGGAGGTTAAAATCTCCCTACTGAAACTGGATTGAGCAAGTAGCAATTTAGTCACCATGAACCACATCATTAACCATTAAGGATAATCATGTTAGTAACATGCACAAATCATGGAATCAATCGGTGGTGGCAAGCTTCAGCCCTTTTTAACCATTCAGTAAAGAGAAGCACAACACCAACTGTAAGAAATCTTCCTACCCTGCCAAAGAGAACTACTCTATTTAAGGACATAATATATATACTTCTGTATTATTTCCGTGCTCTACTCTAATTTACTCTTACATGTAATGACCCAAAGCTGCAATTTTGTATCTATTGGGAAGTGAAGAAACACGCACAGGCGCACACACTACACACTCAGTCACACAGACAACAACATTCCACTCCCTTGGGATGACGTATAAATCATGACCAGTGGGCGGGGCCGTGGGCGGGTCATTCTTGCTTCTAAGGGTTAGCAATCTGACTGTCATGTGGCCTCATGATCATATACATTTAAAGGCACTCTATGTAGTTTTTTGCGCAAAAAATTGTAATATTCTAATTATACTAAATTTCGGTGTTATTAGCAGTTACTATCACTTTTCAACACATTTGTGTCATTATTTCACATTTTTTTCGTATATTTTGTCCATTCAAACAGTCCTTCTTCAGTTCCCGGTGCCACCGGTTTGCTAAGGACAACAACAACAACATACAGGGGTTGCCCCCTGGGGTGGCTAATTGGCCCGGGCATGCCAGGCTTGATAGACAGGGGCAGATGTCACAAGATATAGTATTACCCTCCTTAGAAAAAACTAATATCTTTCACATGAGGTGGAATATAATTATCAACTTAGAGTATTTTGTTGGGCATGAATAAACTGTGGTCATTATCCCTTCAAAAGAGATAAAAAAGCTGGTAAACGATTAGGTATTTCAGAAACTGGTAAGCTATCAACCGACACCCCACTGGGATGTAGGTCAAACCACTGGGAGTGGACAATACCATATGTGTGGTTTGGCCAGAGGTTGAATAGAAGATCATTCACAGTTTTCTAAGCTTCTAAGGAGCAAGGATGTTGTATTTTTTGCTGTGGAGTATAATTTTGGAATACTAATGGGTTAAGCCAATGTACTATGTAAAGAAAAGAATAAAAAATATACTTTTTGTATTGTCAAAAAACTACATAGAGTGACTTTAATGTAAATTTGTAGCACATTTATAGTCTTACACACAGGTATACTTTCGCTACGGACATTTTCTATGAATGTGCATTCAATTTATGATTATCAAAAGTCATTGCGCAAAAAATGCGCAGGTATCCAAACAACAACCGGTCAGAACTAGTTCTTCGTCACAAACTCTAAACACCCGCGCAACCCAGAAAACGACTGTGCCACTGCGAAAAGACGCAAACACTAGTCAGACTAAGTCGAATATTGTCTCCTACATACAGATATAAGAAAACGTACCTTGATTTGTCTTGGAATCTCTTTCAAATGTTGGATTTTAATTTCAAAACAAGACCCTACTACGCGCCACGTCTCTTTTCTAAAGTAGGTCAAAGGTTGCGCGAGGTTCAACAACTGCGAACTGCATCCTGGGAAAAAGTTGCAATATTGTCTTATTATCATATACAATGGTCTTTAAATTGATTAAAATGGTTCTATATTGTAATTTCTGACATTTATTATATTACTTAGTAAACTCATTGCCACAACTGTAAAGGTTGATAAAGGTTAAGGTTTAGAGTTCAAACCCTGCGTGATGTTAATATCCCATCATTCACTGCGATGTGACGTCATTGGCATAGTAACATTACCGCTTGGAGGAAGCGCTAGATCGTGAAAAAAATGGTAAGTTTTCTTATGTTTTCTTCTATATTGTGTGATTGTTTGAGGTAGACTTATATTTTTGGGACATAGAGCAGGCCTGGATTCATCAACGCACACATGGTAACTCCCGAAAGGGCATGGTTTTACAACAAATCGACTATCACCTGATATTTTTTCTAGGATGTCGATAAATTCTCGTGGTGCCATGCTTCTATCGTGCCAAAAAAGTATGCCAGAATTTGTTAGAATTTAAATCTGGGCTTCAACATCTCAGTAGTTTGTTCCCGAAAGACATCGGGAGACCCATGGTATGTTGGTGGGTCTTTCTTTTCTTAGCTCAGCAATTTTAATGGGTTAAAAATTCTAAACGTTATAAAAAAGGAAAAAAAAATCGACAGACGTCAGCACCTGCTCCAAAACCTTAACATAATCTTTTGAATGGTTGTCGCTTATAGACTAGACTTCTAATGCAGACTTCGATGTATATCTAACAGCCAATCATAATAATATCTTCTTCTAGAATGTGGTAAACCTATAGCCTGTCACAAACTGACAACTATTAAGTCATGCCTCTATATTATATTGCATTACATATTAACTTTAAGTTACATATGATTCATATGATACATCTGAACTGTATGATCATCTCCCAGCATTTGGAAGGTCGTAATGTTTTCTGATTGCTTGGCTACAGGGACTGGACTCCACCAACCCGAAATTAATAGTCAAGAGCTTAAAAAATTACAAGTAAATTCCAACCAACATCTGCTTGGAGATTACTGTATGCATAACTTTGAAATGCATGTACTGTAACTCACATTTACATTGATTAGCAAGATATCCTTTAGGTATGTATGTGTAACTCTTTCTTTGTCAGGTGTCAATTAGGCAAACCTGTTTGACAGGAGTGAGGATCTGTTGTTGATCTTGTTTTTATGGTTACCATGGTTACTGATTGTTCAGGGAAGCACTGTGTAATTGTCATCCACTTTTCTGTCTTGTTTAATTCCCCATGACAGCAAACAGTACTTTTCCTGTACTGTAGCTCATTTGCATTCACACTGTACTACTCAGTACCACAGAAATGTTTCAAATGGAACCTTCACAACGAAAATCAGCAAAATTTATCCCTGAGAAAATAAATGAACTTAGAGTACAACATGTACTTGGTTTAAATCCTATCAGCAAGTGTATCATTGTTTGTATTTGTACTAACTAGTACTTCACTAAGCCAACATGATTAGAAGGAGATGTTGTCTAATTTGCATTAACCATTTCCCTGCTGTCCTATCCCATAACAAATATAAATTTGGTGCCAAATGGCTACCTTAGTGGGTTCAAGGTTAAATCAGTACAGGACTAGTTGTCTACAGCTGTCACATGATCATGGATGTTCTTGTTCCCAGGGTCTTCTTGCCCTTCTGCGTAAGCTGAAGAGCAATCCTGAGAAGGAGCTGAAAATTCTTCTCCTCGGACTTGACAATGCCGGCAAGACAACTCTACTAAAGCACTTAGCATCAGAAGATATCTCCCATATCACCCCCACACAGGTATGTGAGACAATTCCAGGACTGGACACCTTTTATTTTTTTGTGACAGTACCTTGTACAATGTTCCAGAAAGTCTTGCACTACTCATTTTCTGTCCCATTCATACCATCAGAAGACAATGTTCCTGGTAGTATCTTGTAATTTGCTAAAAAATATAACAGGGAGCTGCTATGAAGAATTCAAAGCAGTTTGGGTTCTACTGGTTGGTGTTTGCAGGTTGAGTGTTGTTAGCGTAAAAAAAAAGCTGTACAGCTAGATTTACCAAATATCACCTGCAGATGCAGGTGATATTTTTAGCACAGGGAAATTTATGTGTATTTGCATATTATACTTAATATACTTATACTAAATTTTAATTACCATAATTTCTTGTGATAGTGGCTATACCTGCCTGCACACTCCACATGATGTACATATGTTAAATGGTTTTATTGTGAATTCTATTGCTAGTTGACTGTTGCTTATGACATATTATTTACTTTTCAGGGCTTCAACATCAAGAGTGTGCAATCATCAGGCTTCAGGCTCAATGTGTGGGACATTGGAGGTAAATCTCTTTATTAGATTTACTTCTTTTTCCCATAGTCTTAACTTACCTGGCAGAATTATGAGAGTTGACATTACACACAATTCACAGATTATGGGTTTAATATTCCCTAAATGACTGTTGACACAAAGACTAACAAGATTTGTCTTTTCCCTAGGTCAGAGAAAGATCAGACCATACTGGAAGAACTATTTTGAGAACATTGATATCCTGGTATGTATCATTATTTAAGAATGTGTGAACATTGCATTAAGTGCTACTTATATTTCAAAGCCAAACTTAAAATGCTTCTTTGCCCTTTTGTCACAAAATCAATTGATAGCACTTGTTTCTTCCTCACAGATCTATGTGATAGACAGTGCAGATCGCAAGCGGTTTGAGGAAACAGGAGAGGTAAGTTTTTTTGTTTTCATTTTAAGTTATTCTAACAACAACTTTCCCTTTTGCAGTGTCTGAGCATAATGTATGTTGCTGATGTTGTAACAACACCCCTATGCAGGTATACTAGTATATAGGAAGACAGTGTAGGGGCCCAGATTACAGCATGGGGGGTCCAAATCACTGTACAGGAGTCCTTACCCTGAAACTGGCTGTTGCCTTTGCATGTATCAGTTTGACCCTTGCCTTACTTTACTGTGTAGGAACTGGCAGAGTTGTTAGAAGAAGACAAGTTGGCGGGTGTGCCCATGCTCATTTTCGCCAACAAGCAGGACCTGTTCAATGCTGCGGCAGCCTCCGAGATTTCCGAAGGCCTGGGACTGGGCTCGATACGGCGTACGTGGCAGATCCAGGCATGTTCTGCCATGTCTGGTGAGGGCGTGGAGGTAGGTTGAATATTTGTTTTTTTTGGGGGGCCATCTTGGGTTTACGTGTTTGAAAAAAAAAGTGGTAGGTCTTGTTTTAGTTTTATTTAGTGTGATTGGATCTTTACTTTAGCATGTTCTGGATATCATATGCTGCCCATGTAAGATTTTTAAACAAGGATGATTTTTTTTACAGGAGGGCATGAAATGGGTCATACAGACGGTCAGCAAGAAGTGACATGGCGGCTGTATCAGCCCCTAACACATCCTCACCTAATGCAGGGATCTCAATCGACTGTATGGCCTGTACATGTACATATAAGTACCTAATCCACAAGACTTCTGAAAGAAACTGTCTTCTCACAATTTTTATCCCTTGAAAATGTACAGCTGAGTTAGGAAATGGCAAGGCATGGCCACAATTTTTGGCTACTTAATATGTTCCATTATTATAAAACAGCACACATTCCATGCTATGTGGTCCTATAACAAATGTATTTTGGTGAGTTGATTTCTAGTACTTAAATGTAAGGTTAGGAGGAGGCTTTAGTTGTGTTTGCATTCCATATATAGATGGGAGAGGTAAGTTAAAATTGTTTAGAAAATGTATTAGGGTATGCCAGAAAATACAAAAGAAGAAGATAAGGATTCAGAGAAGTAGTTATGTTTTAAAGTACTGTATTGCAGTTTGTAAGAACAATGTTTTTGTGTCCTTCTCATGACTGTAATCTTTATACATGCCGTATGAAGTAATGTTCTGTGAAAGCTAAAGAGTGTTTGGAATCACATGGTCCCTTATCTTATATAAGTTGGCAAAATGTTAAGATTGGCAGCTTGTAATTAAAAAAAAACAAACAATTTTCCTTAATTTGATAGATGTGCTATGCTTATTAGAACAAATGGCATTTTGGGTGTGAAATTTGGTCAGGTCACAAGACAACATGTACTTGGTCACATTTAGTCCTCTTTTCTCACTAAAGACCTTTTTTTGGATACAGAGTAAAATGTAGAAATAAAGTGATGTACATCATAGATTATCTGAGCATGGGCATTTTACATTTCTTTTACACCCACCCCATCCACTCCCTAAACAAAATTCCTCATACATGTATTTTACATGTATACTAGAACGTTGATGGTTGGAAACATTGATTGTAATTGGGAGCCTTTCAAATTACCTTGAAGCATTATACTAGTAGATAATGGTTGGACTACAAATTCTCCAGATTTAACTGTAAAACTTTTCAAACAGGGCAGTAAGCATGGCAAGCCACAGTACTTGAATGTTCAGTTCAGAGATTGTTCAGTACCAACTGCAGTGATTTTGAATGTGTACAAGAAATGCAATGTGAGTGACTATGCATCTATACACTGTATTGGTTCTGGCACCATCCACATACAATTTATATATTCCATGCACTGTATTGAAATGTGAACTTCAAGGTGGTGGGTGGTGTGGTGGATATTGTATTGTGCAGTTGGAAAGAGAAATTTCCTTCTGAAGACACAGTGCCTTGCCATATAGCTGGATTACTGGACTTGTGGTATGTAATTGTGGCCACCAATAGCAACAGAAGAGGTGAAAATAGTTAAAATGGCCCATTTGACCAACAGCTGATGTTACTTGTACTTTAAGTGACAGCCACCAGACCTAGATGGCTTTATGCCCAGTACAGGTACATGAAACTATTTCAGACTTTCAAAGAGTTGGGTATTAGACACTAATACTGTCAAGCTCCAAATAAAAATGTCTCTCGTGTGTTCTAGTGAAAAAAACTGATGTAACAGTTGTAAAGTTTTAAAGCAGAAATGGAACATATGTCATCAAATGATTTTGTGATAGATTTGTCCCTTTTTGTTGGTTTAATATGATTTGTGAGAGACATCATTCCTTTTTGTGAAATAGGTTTTGCCAGTTTGCATAAATGAAATAAAGATACAACAAGCGTGGGTTACTTTTTTTTACTCTGAATTTGTGCATTTGAAACATTTAATTTTGAATTTGCCTTGCCATTTTTGTTCTTAATCCAGATCTGATAGTGAAATTAAGTAAATCCAATTAAAAGATACAAACTTTTAGCAACAACTGTACCTGAAAGACAATCTTCATGAGATACATGTAGTACAAAAATTCCCAGTACAACAATGACGGATAATGTTATTGGCAACTCCTCAGAGCCGGGGCCTTACTTGTTTCTTACCAATTGGATGTTGCTTAGACTGACCAATAGTTTGTGCACAGTGCATGTGAACTTTAATGATTCCGTCTTGGTGCATCTGTTTTATCAAAAGGAACTCCAAGGGCATGTCGTGGGTGTCCTTGATGAAGATCGGTGCCTTGTAGTAATGGTAGAGCACCTTGTTTCCCTTGTCATCAGTGGGAAAGGGCCAGAAGCCATAAACATGGATATCATCACAGAGAGTCAGGGCCATGCTGATCATGTAGATACCTGGGAAACATAACATACATTGTAGCAAGAAGAGTTTGACCAAGATTTGACAAAGTTTTTCATTGGAATGCTTCATAACAAGAGAATATGTCAATGAATGTTAGATATCTTGGCAGAGCATTATGTAGTACAAAATAAACTAGAAAGGTAACATTTGCAAAGCAAATACATAATGTTTACCTATGCATATGGTCTGCTCTGTTAAATTCTTAACTCAAACACATTCATATATACGGTGACAGAGTCTAAATCCCTCCTGCTATAAAATTGCAACATTATGTATGTACTAACCCAACACCAGTTACCATGGTGAGAGACATTCCGGTTCACATCATTGACCAAGACAGAGGTCAGTGTTTGGAATGGCAGAAGAAGAGGAAACAGAGCAAAAACAATATATTTTCCTTCGGGAAACATAATCAGGTAACTGGATACATTTTCAAAGAAGTCAGATGTTTCAACCCATCTGGTGTCCTTCATTAGTGACTGGGAGAATAATTTTCACAGGAAAAGCAACATGATGACACAGCACAGCCATACCTGGTGGGAGACTTGGCATTACCACTTAAGAATGTTCATTGTACATGTCAAACCACAGTTTGAAACCAAATAAGTGAAACAACTGGTTTTAGATGACACACTTAGCTCACCTGATGTAATTTTTCTGGGAATTCCATGATTGTTCCAGTAGTTATTAACACTCAGGAAGTGATGAGGATGTTCATAAACTGCACAGAGTCTGCCTTTCATGGCACCTTCTAAAGCTTGGATCATGTAGTTGGTATAATCTACAATTCATTGGGCAAGAGACAATCAAAATAATAGCTTGAGCATAATTGCCTAGTACAGAAGTACATGTATTGTGTTGGGTGGGTTGGCTGTGGGTTTGTGTGTATGTTTGTCTGGACAGGGTGGGTTGACATCAGGTGGATGGGGGGAAGCTGAATACATGACATCAGCAGTTAATTCAAATTTCCAGAAAGGATTATAATAAATGTAAGAACAGGTGCATGCTTACTTTTCATGGCGGGTAGTGGAGAGTTCTAAATGTATTATCTAAATGTAACGTTGCAATTGTAATTGTACGACCTATGTAATAAAGAGGTGCATGTTTTACTGTTGGGTTTCTTAAGTGACAGTATTCCCTGGTATGGCTCCATGTCCTTTAGAAACCTCTCTTTCACAGACTTGTCCTTCATTTGTGCGTACCTGCAATATATATATAGTTAGTTAGTTAGCCAGCTTCCACTCCAAGTGTGTCGAAGACTTGGTCCTACCATGCATTAGAACGTCCTCTATGTATAAGGTGCGGTTCTATGTTGGTCCCTGGGGTTTTAGCACGTACTGGGTAGGCTCTGTTCTGGAGGCAGCATTTTACGGCCTGCTGTAGTATTTTGCCACCTTTTTGTTTTATGAAAACAGTAGTGGATTGATTGTGACCTTAAGCTTTTATAGCTAGAGATAAAACACGGTGATGTGAATCAAAACAAATGTAATCCAGTGTATAAAATTCGCTCTATGATGAATATGATAAATATGATATGATAAAATAAGCTGGACCGTACCACTTACGATTTCAGCATGGATAGGGGGGCCGTTGTTAAGGTCAACTTTATCCCAGCATCCTTCCTGTAGATTTGTTTTCCCAATGGTGGCAAGTTACACCTGTAGTGAAAACCATTGGTATGTAGAATGGCCTCACCTTAGTCCACATGGGGCGTTCTTGTTCTAAATTCTATACATGTAGGTCCGACGTCGACTATTACATTTGATAAGCAGGTAGGCTGATTCACTAAGTTAATACAGATATATTATACAGGCCAATGTAAAGGGTGTTGTACCTGTCCCATGCGCATATTGCCGTTCTTTTCTGACAACCTATATCCTCCAGCCTGCCTTTCTCAGTTTCTACAAAGTCACTGCGAAGTCTAGATTGAAACCGAGCCTGTAAACAAACCGGCATGCTTCATGCAGTGTGCCAGGGTGGGCGGGAACACTCCCAGCACTCAAAAGGTACCGGGAGCCTTCGGTGGTCCAGGCTAGCCCTTCACATGCAGCCCTGACACAGCTAGGACGGGAGTGTTCATTCGTTTCCACTACGTTGGTATTTGTATACGTCTGTACTTAGCCCGATAGGACATAATTGTAAGTGTTCATCCGATCATCACTAACCATTAATGATTATCACCTGAATACTGCGTCCGCACTGTCGATGGATGCCCCACAGCGACTTCTCTGCAGTATCCCGCTGTTCCCCACCACTGCACACCTCTGGTAATGCTTATTCATGAAAGGAGATTCCTGTGGGGAAAAAAATCCTCGGAAAGTCACGTTTCGGACGTGAGTGGGTCATCTGAAGAACATATGCATACTTTGTCTAAGACAGTGTGCGTAGTATGATTTTTAAGGATGGTCTCACTAGTATACTGATGCAGTTCAATCAATATAGCATGGCAAAATCGGTTCGACCAATGAGAATAGTGGCTGCAAATAGTTCTTCTCGACCGAGGTGGGCGGCTATGGGATCGGATAAGTTCAGTTCGATTATTGGTAATGGTTAACTCCGAAATTACCTTGGGTAAGACACTGTAGATGTCCCTGGTTATTTTCAGAGGTAGTTTTGGGTTGAGCACGTTTGGTAGCACGTCTCCCACTCTGACGTTCCGTTTGGTCATGACGGACGACTCGACGTCACAACACTCCGCCAGCTCATGCCTGATGAGGAGAGGAAACAACACGTACACATATTTTGTTTTGTTACTGGACGAAGCTGTTTTGAATTAAGTGCCGATGACACCAAAATGCAGTTTCTGACTTATATTCAACAACTGTAATATAGAACACACTGTTGCATAACGTATACACCCTTCTCATCACTCTATACTCACTTCATCTGTCTGGAAAGCACTTTATTTTCCCTCCACGTCCCTTTAAAGGTACGCATAGCTTCGACGAGATCTATAGAGCTGTCGTTTGAACCTTTCCCCACGATGTCGAGCTTCGTTGGGGATTGTGATTTATCTGATGAGCTGTTCCTTTCCAGTGAGTCCTTTAAGACTGTGTTTATCAGGCGGATGATGTCAGCTTTCATGTCTCTTGAAGTCCTTTCGTTTTTCCGTGCCGTTTCAGAGTCGTCGCAACTACACCCGGCATTTATATGTATGCTCCTTGTCTCCAGACTGAGAGAAACAAAATGAAAATAAAGTCAAGCGACAGTACTAGGACCTAAGCAGGATTTCAAACAGAAAGTTAAGCCTGTACGCACTGCGACCTTCATCAGGTTAGGATGACCCCTTGCACCACGTGACCTTACGTGGAAAGGTGGAAGTTGTGGAATGGACGGTTGGTGTACGTATTCACGACCTCAGCAATGGCGGGGCGTTAAACATTCCCTTGGAATTTTGACGTATATGGACAAGAATGTAAAGTATCAGGTACATACCGGCTGCTGGGAGGATCTGAGATAGCCAGCCAAATGGATTTCCGTCCAATCAGTGTGATGGTAACAGTGCACGCTACCAGGAGCAGGGTGACTCCAACGTAGGATAGTCGAAACCGCATTGCCCTCGTTTGCCGAACTCTACAGAAATGGGTCAAACGTGAATAAGAACATGAAAAAATATAGACACTCAAAGTAGAGGGAAATGAACACAGCCAACATCAGGTAATCGAAAATCTTGTGACGATTTGGACTGAGCAAAGACGTATTACTAAGTAAAAACTAGTAGAAAACAATGATACATGTGGTACCTATCACTCTGCCTTAGCCAAAACCCCTGTATCAGATGACCAACTTGTACATGTTGGAAGTCCTTTCGGCTGGTCAAAACAAGTAGTTTCTCTTGATCAAAGTATGTTCAGGTTGGGTCCGACGGTTGACAACAAAACTTGTGAGCCTGAATGTCGGCGAGGCTCTCGCTTTGACTGGAGTTGTCCAGCTGTACTATTTGTTGCAAATTACCTTGGACATCATCAATTATATCAAGCGGAAATACCAGGTGTGCCGAAGGATAACATTCTAAACACGGGCTAATGTATGTGTTTTGATTGGTCAAGAATAGCTAATCCCATAACCCTGACCACAAGAAAATGTAAATAAGTGAGGGACATGTAGCCACTCCCTCATTGGTCGAACTGCTAATTGTCAATTGGCTGAACTGCCGATTGTGTTGAAAACGAAAGCCAGGATCGTTTGATTCTATTTTAACATTAAAACTTTGTTTAAAATCATTTCTACTTGTCATTTGTCATTTCCATAACTCTCATTCAAATTCTGAAGCTGCTTTATGAAGAAAGAAAAAGGATCAGGAAAATGTAAACAAACCCCAATAGAATACCATGGCATTGCCTTTGACGATCCGAATGACAATTACTTGTTATATATTGGCATAGGAGAAATATGATACTAGTATGTAGCACATTTCTCATTTGCTTGAAACTATAGTTACATTTTATGTCTGTTTTCATCTGATGATTCCGAGAACTGTTTAATTGTAGCATACCTTAAAATCGAGAGTCGTCGTAAAAAAGTGAAATAAGAGATATTACTTCCAAAAGAATTTTACTTCAATTTGATAGATACATCATCATCAATGGTACAAATATTTATGTCGTTCGTGTTTTGTGCATTAGAAATATTATGGTACGGCGACTCTATGTCATGTATCACATGACTCAAGACTTGTCGCAAAAGTTAACCTTTCGTTATTACACGCACGTATTAGTAATTAACTATACACACTCACATACAAACTCAGAGTCTAAACCACTATCGCTTGGCACTTAGCATGTGTGATGTTACACAAAATAACACTGTCACATAGTTGTTGAGCTAGCGTGGGTAGACGAGACAAGGACATTATACTTTTATAGGTCTCTATATAATGTCGTTGGACAAGGCAAGTCTGGAGGCAAATCTCCATGTACATATCATATCTACCTTGCCCAACCCACTCCCTTGGCTAGTCCACCAGCTGCGGGCTATGTCGATGGACCAGGTAGCTATAGGTAGGAAATACATGACAAAAATAAATACATAGTAGGTAGTCTATATGTAGGATAGAAATATCCTAACAAGCACAACATTTGTGATGCACAAAAAC